CTTCTCCTTCCCACTTCCGCTTCCGCGGCAGTCGTGCTGCGAGCGGTTCTTCCTCCACCCTTGGTTGAGCTGGTGGCGTGTAGGCGGGTGTCTCATCTTCGTCGGTATCGACTTCGACGTTCTTCACATATCGGCCAGGATTGCTGCGTGACAGCAATAGGAATTGTACTCGCTCCGTCGCGGTCAGACATCCCATCGACCGATAGAAATTGATCAAGAAGGGGGAGAGGTGATTGATCGATCCTCCCTTCTCGAATGCGTGTTGTCTCGTCGCCTTCCACAGAATGCGAGCTCAATGAATCGGAGCTCCGGCCAACGCTAGCTCCACGAACGCCACCTACCAAGAAGTCATGTAGTTGGTCTGGTGCGGCTGCAAAAGTTGAATGAGTGCTACTACGACATTCCTCCGGAAGCGATCCTTGTAGTCTCGGGTCTTGTACCCGTTCTTGACCGACTTGCTGTGCTTAAACAGCGCCGCGAAGGTAGCTTCTTCCTCCTTCTAGACATTGACACTCTCGCACTCGAACAGAAGATGGCCTTCTTCTTCCGCGCATCTTCCCAACACCTGCTCCCAGTCACTGACTTCCCACCGCTCCGGGTGCGGTCAAAATCCGCGCGCAGGTTGATCCTTGTCCCTCAGCCACTCGCAAACCATATCCTGACACACCCGATTCCATCCCAACAGGAGGAAATTGAGTTTCACTGCAGTCAGCTCGCGCTGGAATGCGCGCAACCCAATCTGCGGTAGCTTCAGCGGAATCATCCGCAGTTGTGTAATCTTTGACATCGCGTTCTTGAATTTGGCTGATCGTCAGAACTCCGCGAACTCTACTTCGATGTCCCCAAGCTTCTTGCGCGCGGACTCAATCACTCCACGAGCTTCTTTCACTCTCTAGCAAGAACACTATGACTGCGCACTCAGCTGCTGCACGCTACCCTACAATTCCTCGCTAGTCGCAACTCTCTCTGATTTCTCTCTGCCGATTTCCTGCTGCGCAATCGTCGCTCCAGCGAAATCGAAATTGAAATTGCAAGAATGAGACGTTTGCCTTCGGCGAACAAGATTTCACCGTTTGACACTCGGGAGTGGGGATCGACCCACTTGATTGCCGCGCCGGCCTCGAGGCGTAACGGCCTCCTTCGCACGCTCGGCTTCACGCTCCGCCGTTGTGCGGACTCACACGCACAAGAATTGAATTTGATTTCTGCCGTCGTCCGTCGACTTAGCCTTGTCCGCGCAGCGCCGAAGGCGTGGCGGCGAAGGACTTCGCCTCTGGCCGATTTCTGATTTTTCTCTCTCCGCATCGCCGAAGGCGTACCCTTGAAGGTGTCCGTGGACGAAGGCGCTTCCGCCAAAGGCGTTGACCAAAGTCAATGCGTCTTGTCGTTTCCGTTGTTCTGTCTTGTCCCGCCGAAGGCGCTATTGCCGCAGGTGTTCCGTTTTGCCGAAGGCGTACGGCCGAAGTCGCACCGCCGAAGGTGTTGACCTAATATCAATGCACTGGCGCCGAAGGCGCTCAGGCGAAGGAGTACACCACCGAAGGCGTTACCCCGAAGGCGTATCGTCCGTCGCTGAAGGTGTTCATATCAGTAACTTCCGACACTCATAACTCAATGATCTCTTATTCGTTCTAAGTGTTCTTGGGCTCGTTAGAATGAGCGCGTCAAGATCTTTCCAACAGAACCCTAAACAAATCAAGGCGTTACGAATTGGGACATTTATGAGGGATTTACTCTAGCGCCAAAGGCGTCTATCGCCAAAGGCGTTTTCTCCTGCTCGCGCCGAAGGCGCTTCCACTCAGTAGGAACCGTCCGATCGCGCCAGGGCGCTTGTCCTGGACATTGCACCCAACTCCTGGATTCTCCTGGACCCGCAATCATCCTTTTTTCACTCTATTTTAGTGTACCGATTACTATTTACAGTTGGTGTTGCGGTACTGTTTTCCAAAAATGTTTAAATTCCACAAAAACAAAAAGTGGGTTACCGCAGAGAGGCTGATCAAAACTACAGAGAGGCGGAAGAAGAAGCATGCCGAAGAGCTTGCGGAAGTTGAAGCTCGAAGAGCCGAAGAAGTTCGTATCGCCGAAGAACTTCGGGGGAAGATTGCAGAGGCGAAGACGGCGGAAGAGGATCTTCGTAGTAAGATTGCGGAGATTGCGGGTAAGTGTGATAGGGAATTCCGACCCGCGGAGGAGCTATCGGCGAGTTCGTTAGAGGGAATCTAGAAGCACGAAGAGGAGTTGACGAATTGGGCCAAGAAATTGGCAGATTGCGAATCGGCCAAGTCTTTGGAGGTCGAATGTAAATTAAAGGTTGAATCGGAATGTTGACGGTTGTGGTATCAATTAGGTAAGGCAGACATGAGATCGCAAGAGTCACGAAGGAGAATGGAAAAGGCAGAGGAGGCCTACCGTCATCTGCGGGACGAGACAACCGATGAGTTGAGATTGCGTGTAGAGAAGTGCATGCGCGGATTCGCGATGTGGGGATTGCAAACGGTGAAGTGGTTGAAGTTAGATTTGCTCGAGCGACGGTTGATGAGCACTAAGGCCAACGGATCCGCAGGACAGAAGTAGATTGTAGAGATAGTTAAGACATTTTCTGAGGGATTCGATGAGGCGCGCCATAATGTAGAATTAGAGATTATAAAAGTTTTGCGTAAACTAGGAGCAAAGAATAGTTCAGACGACGCCGTAACCGCTACGTCGGATGGCACAGCCCCTGAGACTGATTCGCCTCATGCGGTTCCAGAGTTGCCATTGTGAATAAAGAGACCTAAGGCTCTTTCCTTGGGGGGCTTTTCTGTCATTTGGCTTGTCTTGGCTGTGAATCTGTATCCACTATGTATCTGTGTGTTGGTGTGTGATCCAGACATCGAGCACAATGCGCTCTTGTTTGTTGAAGTTACCGCATCAGGAGTTGTTAGTGTCCAACTTGAATGTTTTGAGTAGCCGTGCGTTCCTTGGAATTTAAGCAAATTCGAGTCTGGGCATTCGGGTCAGTGAGTCGGGATGTATTCAATGCTGGGAAGTTTTTCCCCTGAAATATGAGTGTGGGGTCGCAGGCGATTCCCACATGCGTTGATTGGAAAAGTTTCAGGTTGTGAGTGCGATTATGTGCTACTTTGCAGGTCTTCGGCCGTAGCTGGATAGTGTCTTCTGGGAGTGGCATTGGCCTAAGAAGTAAAACTCCTTAATAGAATGCAAATACGTGACAAATCATGACTTTTGTGGTTGTTTCTGCCCTTGTGGGATCGGATCTGTACCATTATGCTCCATTTTGGTATTTGTCTGTCATTACACGTTCTCCCCATGCGCGCCCATTGGTATCCTCAGCGCATGTGAATGTTTGTCCAATCCCGGCGAATTTCAAATTGGTACTCGGGTCTTCGCCGAAGACCCGTCATCCAAAAAGACTGCGCCGAAGGTCCAAAGATACGGAGATCTTCAGCCGAGAGCTAAAGACACGAGAGCCGAGAGCTAAATTCTAACTAAATCTCCCATAAGCCTTCTAATTCTATCACTTCTAACTTATATGTTTACATTCTACACAATTATGTTTAAGTTTTTGTTGTTTTTTAAGAAAAACAAAAAACTAGGCACCACAATTCTTCTATTCCACCTCCGACAATTTCGCCTACATCTCACATAACTGTTCCTCGGCCTGAGATCTCAGCTCATTGCACTGGGCCCTAACTTCTCTATCCGTTCCAGGTCTGAGATCCTAGCAGCCTCACACTCTGCCAAAGCCTTCACCTTCGCCGCCAATTCGGCTGCATTAGGATTAGGGTTAAGGGTATAGGTGGGTGATTGTGCTTGAGTTCCTCAGGTATTGTATCCTCCTAGTGCTAATTGTTGCTGGAGTTCTCCAATGTGTGCTTCAGGGATGTACAATGATATTACTGTTAGCCAGCAAGTAGATTTTGGGTTTAGGTTCAGGGTAATATCCACTGTGGACAAGGGGCATGAGGCTGAGGACAAATGGGCTTGTGCAGTAGCACAAGCCCATTTGTCGGGAAAACCGAGTTGAATAGAGGTGGCGATTGTTGGATAAACACTAGCAGTTTCCTGTATTGCGCTTCCAGGGGCAAGGGCCCTTCGCCCAACATGTGACGTAAAAACCTGTGCTGATGTCGGGTCTGAGTTGGCACTAGTGCGGTTTATCAGTAGTACGAAATCCAAGCCAAACGAAGACTCTTCGGGGTTTTTTCCACCCCGAAGAGTCTTCGGGGTGGAAAAAACCCAATTGTATCGAAAATAATTTCGGGTTAATTAAAAAAAACCTGATTTCAACAATGGTCTTAATTAATTGTTTTAGATTGTTGACGCTTAATCACTACAGTACAGAATAGGCTAGTGAGAGTAACATATAATTCATGCCTTTTAGGAATTCATTATCATCAAATCTCGTAATCAACATCGAATAATTCTGGACTAATGATACTCTCTGAGAACGCCGGATAATTCGTACTCCATGACACGAATATTTCGATCAAATTATTTTCTTTACTGTTTATGCTATGTATATTTACTTAGAATCCATAAAGCACTCAACAATTTGTAAATGTTGAAATTGACACATATTTAGTCAGAATTTTTTCATTATTCCCCGTATAAACATAAAGGAGATGGAGGAGGAAAAAGATATAAAATCCGATTTCATGCCAATAGATGATTACGGATTTTAGAAACACCTGTTTAAACCTGATTGCAAAAAACCTGATGGTGCCAGCCCTGCTTTATTGTGGCGCAATCCGAGGGAGCCCACCTATAAGTCAACTTATCATGCAGTGACCAAAAGTATTTTCACTCCTTATAACCTACTCATCGCAAGAACGTGAAAGAAGCGTTTATTTTTCTACAGAAATTTTTTCAACTACAACAACGACCTACCAAGAGGGAATGCTATGGTATTGAAAACCAAGTCAAGTCAAGTTGAGTGTATTCATTGCGTGTTAATTGATACACACTGCGCCACTTTGAGGACAAATATTATTTACAGGTTATAATTGTAGGCAATATTCCTCAGGTGAGTGTATATAGGTCATGACCTTCATGCTTTCGTAACTACAGATGTGATAAATGCTATACAACCAAGGGGCTTGGAGTAGAGCTCCTTGGCCTGGAGTAGAGCCCACTGAAGAAGAAGTGAAATGCCCTCAAAACCTCATGTCTTTGATCAGTCTTAATGACAACTATCAAGTCGCCTACATCAAGCCGTATAATACGTAAAGATTACGTACAGCTGTAAAGTAGATCGCAAAAGTCATGATGGGTTCCTTGAACAAAGACGGACACAAAGAACAAGGAATTTATTCGAGATATGAATGAAGCGTATGCCACGTTTATTGCCCAAGTCAGATTACAAAACGCAGCCATCCAAGTAAAAACGAGCACAAGCTCTAATAACTGTTTTCGTACTACAACATAAATCTTACATTATAGCTAAAACTGTTAGAAGGGCCTCTTGAGTATGTTAGCTTTCGGTACACCCTTCGTTTCCAAACAGAGCCTCAATAAGAATTGCATACTGCAGAGCATCTGATAAATGTGGGTAATATTCACAAAGCGTCACCAACAAGATCAGCTGAATGACAGTACTGCATTAGTCCGTTGACAACAGACAAAAGAAGAATGAAAAAAATCTTGACTTTTCAGCTGATAACCACCCCCGTGCTTCAATCTGTCCTTACTGGTGCATGGTGTCGTAAATGCGCATCGGAAAGCGTGCTAGCTTTGTATATGGGGCTATCGGTACGTATGGCTTCGCCGTTGATAGAGTCTTTGGGCAGTAACGGCGATGTGGCATCCAGCCTTTCTTCGTTCTCTTTCAGAGCATCCTTGGCCTGTTGCTGCTTGTACATGTCTCGGTAGACTTTCTTAGTCCGGCCGACTAGTCGCAGCAATGCTATGCAACCTACGCCACAAACGCAGGCCATGACCAAGAAGGTGGACCGGAAACACTCTGGTCCTGCACATTTATGAGAGCTACTTGCTCCCTGTCCGGCCGCAAGTGCCAAGGCTTCAGCTGCTGCGACCTGACGGTCGTACAAGTAGCCAGCCAGCTTGACCGAGAGAATATACGATCCAATTGTGGATGAAATACTGATAACACAAGACGAGATGATGCGAACACATTAGAAATGGAAGCGAGAACTCTACTGGGACCCAAAACAAACAGTGAGGACTGAAAGCCTCTAACTTATTCATTCATATCATCTTCTTACATCAATCATAATAAGTATTTGGATTGAAGAATGAATACATTCATGACTTCTTACTTCCGAAACCTAAGAAAGTGATAAATCAGTTTCCAGACTGAAGCACCTCAGGGTGTTGTAGAGAGCTCCAAAATGTTGCAGCCCAAATAACTCAGATGACGTTGCAACCATCAGTGTCCAGTGAGCTCCATGTGCTAGTCCAACCAGCACAGATGCGAGATAGAGCAATGTAGGAACTGAGCAGATACATTCAAGTATAAGAAGCCAGCCATGGTCACAGAACATCACTGAACTTTCACTCGCGTTTCTGAGAAGTATTTCAATGTGCACACTCACTGTATCCAGTTATTTCCATGAAGGCCTACTACTTCACAATGAGATCCAGTGAATTCCGGCGGATTAAACACAGTGGATGAAGGCACGACTTGGATACAACCTCTCAAGCAGGAGCTTCAATAGACAAGTAAAAATAGCACTGACCAGACGAGGCGAATAGTAGATGAGCAGACGCCATAACAAGCTGCACCACCAGAAGAAAAAGAGGTCTAGGTGTAGCATGTCTGTTCATATAGTGCTCTGAAAGGTACCTGCAATCATGGTACACGTTAGCAATTTGATCATAGACATTCAACATCAAGCAAAATGTTCAAAATTTTACCGCTGACTGGGCACTGTCAGACAGGTAAACTTTGTAGTTCTTTTTAAAGTTTACATGTCTGACAGTGCCCAGTCAGCCTACTCAGTGACTCAGCTCGATCAAGGAATCAAGATACTATTTTCAGATGAAAATGCCACGTACCCGGAGCCCATACGTCCTAAGAAATTCCAGACACTGACGAGTGCCACAAAGGCTCCTATGCTCCTTGATCCTAAGGATTCCGCCATCTGCACAGATAATGCAGGCTGAGTAGACGGCTCTCTTCAGATCAATGTTCATCAATCAAGAACAGCATCGTAAAAGCTTATCTCAAATTCGTGCATCCAGTGTAAGATAACACAAATATGATCTTTACCTGAGCTAAGTTGTTAATAGCTGTAAGACCACTGCCTGTGCCACAACCCATGGCAAAAAACAGTAACCTGCAAATAGTCAAGCCACATGTCTTCTGTCAGCTCTGCAATAAATTGTGTTTATTCTTAGCGTGCTTGTCACAGACCTAAGCAGCTCAATTATAATGAAGTTAGTATTCCACTTAATCACATGAATTTCTAAACAACTAGTCCAACACTAACTAACTAGTATACAATCTTTCCTTAGGAGCGCTCAACCTGGAAATAATTCCTCATATATTAAAGTCTGTACTTACTACGTCTGCTATGGAAGTATTGACATCTGCTCCCTTAATTTGTACTAAGACTCTCATCTGACACTCAGCGTTTGACCATACATGAATTACCCTCACCAGTAGTCTTGGGTATTGACAGCCTGTAATAGTGTATGATCCTGACCAAGCCTAGTTTTCAACTTCGAAGGAGTTTCAGGAAGGCCGGCCTTGATTCCTCCATTTTGAACGTCGTGAATCTTATTAGCAACGTCAATAGCAGTTGCGGTCTTCGACACAAGCAGTGGCTCTAGATGATGGTGCTTTGTAGGAGTATGCACTGTTGAAGGAGAGTATGACATTGGTACATCTACCGCCAGCTTATGATATCCTCTCGGTTGTTGCCCTCGTCCCCAACGCCACTGTTCGTCACAGCTTAGTCAGCTTATTGACGTTACTTCTCTTCGTTTCAGCTTAATTATTACAAGAACAAGAGAAGTATCTACCATGATACTCAACAACAATTTACACTATTACAGGGTTTCTTGGCAACCAGAGTTACAAACACAATGCTCTTGTGCAATGTGTGCTGAGCTGATATATGACCGATCAATCGATGCAACCAAATTCATTAGAAAAACACCGTTGTCTACAAACTACTGTAGCAGCTGGAGTCGTAGAAAAGTTTAAATCAACCAATTTGAATGAATCAATACTCGTTTGGTATTTCTTTTTAAACATTAAAAGTACAAAGAAAGAAAAGGAGTTTTGAAACTTTAGAAAAAACAGCTTCTCCGGCTTGACTAAGCGATGATATGCAGAGACAAATGTTTATTGGCTTACCACAAACGAAAACGCAAAGTTATCAATGTAGGCAGGATGTGCATCTTACAGGTATAATTCCAGGAAGCAGTAGGATGACAAGCATCACGGCCATAAAGAATCCACTTACACCTTTGCTCACAACAAGGAAATCCTGAAATATACGGTAAGTAAGTAAAATAAGTAAGTTTGAGCAGCCTCCTTAGCTTTACTATGACCTGAAGTGAGCATTAATGAAAAACACCAGTCAAGATTCAAGAATATCCATTTTGTAAAAATGCTGGTCCTCTAATTAGGTGCAAATACATGCTGAAAGAACATACAGAGGGCCGAGCTTCATTAATCTCTACTGAAACAAGAATGAAACGAGTCAAAAATGTGTATTTAAATAGTAACATACCTGGATAAGAATTACTGCCATGAGGTAAAAGGCTAGAACCAAACCTACAACCTGCAAAAACAAGGATAAAGAGAGTACTTTTTCCATTCACGTTAACCTCAATTATGTGCAGGTTAAAGACGAAGGTTCTTTCGAAGCATCTTAGATGTCTATACAGTTGAAGTTTGTTTTAGCGCAGCAAAATTGAGTCTACTGGTTGGATCGCTTACATAGAGAATTTTGAACTTCAGCTTGTCAGATTCATCCTTCTGCTTAGGTGTCTCAACTGGTTGTATGATGAGCATTGACACGAAAGCTACAAGAGGCGGTACACTTGCACAGAATAACAGGAATGGACCAGTATTTGGTGCATACACTGCAGTGTAGACCTGTTCAATGAAACACACATTTAAGCTCTATACGGCAGAAGCTCATAACTACTTATAAGTGAAAAGCCCTACTTCCAGCCTTCCTTTTGCTTCCTGACAAGGACCGTGACACATCATCACTTGGACTTTAAGACCAGCAAGAGTTAGAAAGTACTCAAGCTCGGAAGAACATGATCAATCATGGTCACGAGAGTACTTTCAGTTCCAGAAGAGACAGAATTGTACAAACCAAGCGTCAAGGAAAACATAGAAACACTTCCAATATCACAGCACTGGATATCTGCAGGCACGTCTAGATCAACAAACATCAGCCAGATTATTCTTAGCTTCTTAATTCATAAATAGAGGAGAAAATTATATTCAAATCTATATGCTATTATCTTCATAAGAGTTGCATTTTGCTCAAGAATTACCAAGCATACCATGTGGTAAAAATTTCTACCTGGGTGAATATAGCACCACTAAGTCCGATAAAACCTTTCAGAAGACCCACGACAACCCCTCTGTCTGAAGGAAAATTTCGCATACTGCAAGATGAAAGTAAAATTTGATCACATATACGTAGTGGAATAAATTACAAAATGTTAAGCATAAAAGCAAGTTCAGAGAAGCAACACAAACTTCCACCATTACTATTCAAAGTTTAAAAAGAACAGGCTATGAACACTTCAAATGTGCGAAGCCTAAACTAATTTAACTTAAATTAGAAAATGATAGCAGATCTATACCAAACTTTGATACACATTATAATGTCTTGCTCCGCATAGTAAATTTTCCCGTCGCGGGAGTTCTCCTATTATTGATAAGAGAATGTTAAATTTGTACCATGTCACGAGCACGGCTGTGTTGAACCACGTCGCTCCATTGGTACCTAGCATAATAATGATACACATCTGCGGTGCTTGGGCTTGTCAAGACCACAAAGCTTCCAGTACGATGAGCATTTGCGTGCAAAATCATGGGAATAAATTGTCAAAAAAAGCACACAAGACGAAACATAAGCCATAACGTCCTACCTGCCAATGTGACGGTGAGATTTGACCTGTAGCAGACAGGTATAGCTGCACATTAGAACGGTCACAGCTAATTAGCAAACAGAAACTCGATGCTGTTGAGTAGATTGGTTTCAACCTACAAACAGACTACTAAACCTATCTGACGTATCTTCTACTTCTAGAGTTAGTTGCTCGTTTGTGTTTGTCGGCTTCTGAAATCACACCAAAAGGTGGGTGCCTGTTAGGATCTATCACGTGACTTGACTTTGATTTGGGAGCTACTGATATTGTTGGGTTGTAAATCTTCGCCACGCTGAACATCGGATAATATGTCTGCCTAGACCTTCGGCCCCATGCGAATAAAGGCATATCACAACAGCCCTGACCCTACCTTCACTACTCGCAGATTTGGTTAAAAATGGAGTACGATGTTAAACGCCAAAATTTCTCGAAGGGTTTTTGATGTTGAATCCCACAATTTACGACTTTTTAGGCCTGTTCAAGTCCGAAACACATGGATTATGACACATAGAACTCACTCACAAAAGAAACCCGAAAATAGGAGAAGAAGAGAAAAACTGGAGAAGTTTATTCAGTGAGTAATATTAGATAATAGGTTTAATCCTTGAACTAGGTGACATCTCTGATGTACTCAGGCTTAATGTAATCCTGTGGCATGAGATTCTTCAAACATACGGGATTATTTGTGACTATAATCACAAACAAGATTGTGGACACATATCTGACATTGCAAGGAGGAGGGAGATTGAAGACTGTGGAGCGAAGGACGAGAGCTGAAAACCGAAAAGGATAGGAATAGAGGTGTACAGCCCACATGGATAGCCATGTAAGGTGGCACAAGAATCAATGACACCTGAAAGTGGTTGACAGACAAAGGTAACCTAAACTCCGGCCTCGTTCGACAGACGAAAAGTGGGAAGAACAACTGAGCCAACTGAAAAAAATCGAGTGGAAACGAATACCTACAAGATGTCATTTTACTTACGAAGGGTTAAACTAGTCAGCTCAGGAATCAAATACCAAACTCAGGATGTTCAATAATCTTTTCGGACAGTCTATCTAAACTTCTGGAAAATCTCAAATAAACAATCTAGTGCCCTTAAAACTAATACAAACACTACAGAGCGAAAATACTTTACAACGAGAATGATACAGGGGCAGAAGAAGTACCAGCGTGTAAAACAGAAAGTGCAGACATCCACCGACAAGAAGCACGAACCAAGCGGACGTTACATCGATCAGCAGACCAGATATAATTCCGACATTGCCACCAATATCCTTGGCTGTGCCCAAACCGTCAATCATCTCTTGATTGTAACTCATTGTACGCTTCAAGTCGGCTGAATACAGGGAAAATACATACGATATGCCTCCGCAGGCTTGCATCCACAGGCCTAAACACAGTCCCAGCCACCGATCTTTCAACAACTTTCGCAAAGAGAGTTCTCCCATCTTTGGAGTTGCAAATATACGTCTTCCAAAAAAAACTATTCCTGAACGGCATCAATTTCGCTCGATTCTTCACTTTATTCACAGTGGCACAACATACGCCAGCCTCCAATTTGCCTTGCCAGCTCGTAGATGGACGCGACTTATTTCTTCAATACGCCTTTCCGTGAGCGCACTTCAAATAATGCGCAGCGGCTAGATGCGGAGCTTCAAACTTCAGCCTCGTAAAGTTTAGATGTATCTCCTGGCCCCGTGTTGCTTCTGCACATGTCTGTTGATTCCCCCTCCTGCACATGTCTGTTGATCCCCCCTCCTGCGGACGAGTGGGTTGGAAACTTATTTCGATGATGATGTCTAGACTTCTTGATCACTTCTTTCAATGATGCTGAACGAACATGCTATTATTCAATACTTTTGTAGCCGGCGATGCTGTGCCTCCTCGACACTCTTTGTTCACAGCTCAATTCATGTAATGCCCAGAATAGATCCCGACAACAATAAAGAAGATTAAAATTCACAATGCCCGACAAGAAAGATGATCTTAAGATTCTCGGAACGTAGTGCAAGAGAAATCAAAATGCCCAAAACCAATGTACGAAATATAAAAGGAAAAAAACATTCCACCACCTCTCTTCCAGCAGCGCACCATGAAATCTGTCAACTTACCACTTCCACACTCGCACAACAGCAGCATCACATGCAGATCAGGTTTCATAGCAGACGCGCCAAGTTCCAGCGCCAAATATCTTCTCAACGCGACTGATGGAATCGAGGAAATTCACCAGCCATAAACAGACCTCCGATCCATCGGACGCCCCGCATTTACCCGCATTTCATACAAGCTCAGCCCAGAGCAGCATTGATCTCCTCGGCCGCACATCAACAACGGCAACCCGGAAAAATCCTCCAGCCTCCTCTTCCTTCCACCATCTGGGCGATCAATGTAGGCAACCCGGTCGGGTCACATGGTTCATGTCGAGCTGCGCAATGGTTACGTGCACAGGCTGCGAAGGGAACATTCCGCTGTCAATCAGCATATGTCCGCAGAACGAGGAAGGATCGAGCGAGGGGGGAAAGCAGCGAGCTCTGGAAGGCCTACACCATTTACTCCAATCACTCCTTCCGCCTCCACCTCCCCCCGCGCTCCATCGATTTGTACTGCGTACGGCTTGACTCTAATTTTGTGTCGCAAAAGCTGCCGCGACGTCACGTCTCTTTCAAAGCTCATTATTCCGTAAACAAAGTCATCAATTCGCTACGGCTCCGGTTTCGAAGGCTCGACAAAGTTGGAGGTTCTTCGCAGTTAACCGTGGCCGAAATGCGGCCCTCCATCCGTCTATGAAACGTTGTGGAATCTGTGACCCTCGTGACATTATTGATGTGCCAATCTACGTACGATTGTTTCTTACAAGTTACGGAATGAACCATGGCTACATACCGATCGTGCGGCAGTTGTGGAATTTTTTTATTTGTTAAGCTTTCCCTCGTCATGTTGGTTTTGCGACCCAATTCGTCGTTCACTTTTATTTCACCAAGCTATAGGGCCACAATGTTAGACCTGTACCAAAGCGTAGCTTACAAAACCTAGGCTATTGCCGAACACGTCATACACAATATTTTCTTTCTATTCCAGCTATGAGTGTACCGACGTATGACGCATATGTCGCTTTTAATGACATATTGGGTTACCTCAAGTAGTATATATTTTGATGTTATTTGAAAATCAAGAAATTTACCGCTCTTTAACGTGGAAAGTCAATAAAGTCATTTGATAGGCCATCCTCTATGTATAAGATGCATTATATTTTGTAGTTTCTTTATTTTATCCTATATTTCAATTTTTTTAGAAAAAATTACAATTCAATGCTATTAATTATGGTTTGGTGTTTGGCTTTTTGAGTGGTTTTTTCTTTGAACCACTTGGTAATGTCCTTCTGTTATCTTGGTCCTCATTCTCTAATCTAAAGTTCTCTAGAGTAAATCTCTTCGGATGAATGTAGTTCTTCCTAGTGCTTCTTCATATCCTACATCATAGAAATTATGAATCTTGTCAAGTCCTTCTTTGCTAGTATTTATCTCAACAAAAAATCATATTTAAATCCTTGGCGGAAATGTTTATCTCACCCATGATAAACCTTCCCACTATTTCGCGACCTTGTCACATGCTAGTTTGAGGTTGAAAATGAGATTCACATATACACAAAAATTCAACCATAGTAGCAGTCTTTCCTAAAATTCTAGATACTATTCTTATATACGTGAAATGATCATAGAACTTAGACAAGAAGACTACAAAACCGATAATTCTATAATGGTAAATGTTGCCGATTCTTCTGTTGACCCTACTTTTGTAGATTTACGAATAAAAAAGGGATGATCTCATATAGAAGTACTGTACTTCTTTGAATAGTAATAATAACTATCTACTCTTCTTGTCACATGTGTGGATCGTGTGAAAGTCCACTAGGACGAGAACACACTTATGTGTGTACGAGGACACAGTGTGCATACGTATGATCATCAGCCATTGGCTATGTGCATCATCTTACGCCTAAAATTTTTTGACTAAATTTTGTTTGTAAAATGCTCCCGAGATCCTTGAAGGTATAGACATACAGTATAGAGGTCTAAACGAAAACCCATATGGGTTGCCAAGGATTGCATTTCATGCATAATTTTATCAAAATTAAATACAAATGTGAATACAGGTCACATAAAGAGTAAAAGTTTAGAATCCAATAACATTACGGGAATGTATTGTGAGCGCATGAGATATTAAATCTGGCCCAAACGTGATTGCTGTGTGATTGGCCCATCCATAATCCATGCATAAATAATAGCTAGTCGCGGATTCTATACGCTAGGAGTGTAGGTCTATACCTAGTGAAAGCTTAACAAACAATTAACTCCATGATGGACTAGCATAGTTGTTACACAAAGATACTGAAGTCAATTGAAACACCAAGTAACCTCGCAAATTTCATGGGAAGACCCTCCCAAGTTGACTTTCTCCTCAAGGTCGTAGGCAATGAATGAAGATGGATGGATCGATTGAAGAGTACAACTTTATGCTGTCCTCTTCATGTCCTTATCAAACAATGTTGGCAGTGCTACTGACTTACACTAGTCCTCGTCATGGATCTGGCCTTACCACTAGGAACTTAAACGATATGGCTTATTAGATATTCTCACCACAAGAAGCTGAGGTTGTAAAGGGTAAACCGATATGTGGACAATACTTTTCATGACGGGGGCTATTCAATATTTTCACAATAAGAAGATGATGTTATAAATGATAAAGTAATATGTGAACAATACTCGTCATGACATTGAACCTTCTTTTCTGTATCGAGCTTGGTAAAACAATATAAATTCAGTTGTAATCTCACGTTGATCAATGCCAAACACTCTAAAAAGAATGAACTAATAATCATAAACATGCTCCTTAGACGCAATTGAGCACAAAGGAGAAATATCAAATTTTAATTTATCAGGCTTAAGCAGGTTGATATGCTTTGATCTTAATATAATATTTAGAAAACCAAATCTTTATGTCATCTGCTCAGAATGAGCATTCATAATCATCTGAAAAGAAATATCCTACATAATCTCATTTTGTGCAGTTTTTTATTTCTTCCACTCCATTCAAGAGACATTATATTCATGTCTTAGTATATAACATTAGACCTCTTTCACATTTGAATTTGTCATTCCAGTTTTCATTCACATAACCTACTCCTTTAGATGAAACTGTCCAAAGTTCAAATTACCATAAAATCAAAATAAGTATTTTATTTTCATTTTTATACAAGAAATTGATAGTAGAACAATTGTATTTAATTAATCCCAGCAGATAGTTATCAAAAAATTTGTCAATATTATAAATTATCAAATCTTTCTATTCTTGTAAAAATTTTATTAAGAAATTTTATCTAAAAGATAGTAAATAGATTACTTGAACACCATTCATTTACATTTAATATAATTAAGTGTAAATTTTTTTGAATATTTCTTATTTTCTTGTTATGAATTCACATAAATGATGTATTGATAGAGATACCAAAATTCTTCGAAAATAGTTTACATAATTTTTCAATCATAAAAAACTGGGTTTTAGTTATATCTTCTAAAATGTTATATTAAATATCATGTTTTAACAATTATTTCTAAATGCACAGTTATTTATGAAGATTGAACTTAAAACATTGGAAAAAAAGATGCAAAAAATACAAAATCTTTATAAAAATTCATATGATATTATAAACTGAAATATAATATAATCTATTGTTTAATACAACAAAAAAATTTCAATATCTTATGAGCAATACAGTTAATCTATTTTCAACACATCACATTTGTCACTAAATCATAAACTCATTAAATCTATTAAATTTTCTAGCTTTTTTGATACATTAAGTTTAACATCTCTTGACACAAAATTGTTTATTCGAAGATAAACTTTAAAAAAATTAGAACTATGACACAACCAAATTTAAACAAACAAAGTGTAGAAGTGAACCGTACTAGCCTCTATTGGGGTTTGTTACTAATATTTGTACTTGCTGTTTTATTTTCTAATTATTTTTGTAATTACAAAAAATTTTAAATAATTTTTTACCTTATCTGGAGAAAAAAGACTTTTTTATTATTTGTAACTGTTTATGTTTTGAGTTATGACTAAAAAGGAGTAAATTTGATATAGGATATTTAAAAAGGAGTAAATTTGATGGCCAATACTTTCGGATTTTTCTTCTGGATATGCTTTGTCATCTCAATTATTTTAATTTTTTTACTATATCTGCATATATTTACCATCTACATTTTCTAAACATGTATTTTCATTAAATGTTTTAAAACTATCAACTTGATCATTTTAGCTTTATTATACTTTATATTTCATCCTAAGACATTATTATGCACGTCGAGCGCTACCTACTGGAATCATGTCTATTCACTACTCCTAATCAGCATCTACTCCAAAATTCATTATTTACTCTTCTTATGACTATTCCTATTCTAAAACTTTAAAATTTGTGGTGTATAGTTTTTTCAAATTTTGGATAAAGGAGCACATTCAAAGTGTATTGGATATACAACATGTACATATAGGCTCATAATTGTTGGAGTTAGAAGATCTAAAGGAAATGGGGTAATTAGACTAAGGCTGCAGGAAACGCACCTGACCATACATTTAGAATTCAAGGGGAAACTTCCCAGAATTGCACATTCTCAGCCTACTGCTCTAAATACTCAAGTTTGAACTTGCTTAAATCCGAATAGCCATAGGCACACTCAGAACATCTGAATCGGACACTCACGACTTCAGATGCGATAACTTTGACAAACTGAAGCTCACCATGCACGGTGACAGACACACACAATTTCATGAATGCGCATGATAAACACAGGTTGATAGCCAAGACAAATCAATTGACAGAAAAGCCCCCCAAGGAAAGAGCATTGAATCTCTTTATTCACTATAAATTCCTAAACAACTTAACCACCCGAAGCGAGCTACCATCGGGCGCAGAACCATCCGACGCAGCGGTTACTGCGTGTTCTGAGCTCCCGTCCGATCCTAGCCTACGCAACACGCCTAAAATTTCTATATCTAAGTTCTCCTACGCTTCTTCTAACACGAAAGAGAAAGAAATGACTAATCTAACTGACTGCCGATGCTTGACGGTTCTGCTGGTCTTGAGTTCCATCAATCGCCGCTCCAGCGAATCCAATTTCATCCACTTCAACGTTTGGACTTCCCACTCAACAAAACCGCGTAGACACTTCTCAACCTACAAACGCAAACTGTCGGTCGTCTCCTCCTTCAACTGCTGGAACGCCAATTTTGCCGCTTCCGATCTAGTCCGCAACGTATCAAACTGCTCCTCAACCGTCTTCAACTAATCTTGCAGCTGATCGCAATTTACATCCAATTTTAATCTACATTTGACCTTCGAAGACTTGGCCGTTTCACACTCCGTCAATCTCTTCGCCCAACTAGCCAAATTGGCCTCATGCTTCTTCGTCTCCTCTGCCAAACTTGCCATAAGCTCATTTGCGCTTTGCATCTCTTCATTGTGGGCTTTAGTCCAGGCCGCGATCCTTCCCTGAAGTTCCATCCTCTCTGTTTTCATCGTCGCAATCTCTCGTTGAAGATCTTTGGTTCTCAGCTCTTCCTCCTCACGAAGCTCCTTCTCCTTGACTAGGTTCAACCCAAGAACTTTGCACTCCATTTCCTTCACCCAAAGTACACATGAGGCGAAGGAATCTGAGGGGATTCCATCACCGTTTCTTCAC